TGTTTTCCTTTATTAGAGTTGCCATGGTCATGGTGTCTCCTCACAGCAATAGAAACCGTAAGTAAGATAGCATCCAAAAACAAATGTCTATTATCGGCAGATAAAAATGTTTCTGTGAGTATCAAAATAACCATAAAATAACTTTATCTTTGATAAATGGATCTGAAATTGCTCTACTTCATTCCTGCTTTTCTTCTTGCTCCTTGTGCTAATCTTGATGCTTTATTTGCTTAGTGCCACACACTGAGTTTTGTAAGGACTGTAACAAAAGATGCAGATCTACACATTGTGACAGAGGGTGCAGTTCTACACACTAACAAAATGCAAAGCTCTGCACGCTGTAACAGAAGGTACAGATCTGCACAACCTTCAGGCCATCAGGAAAAATAAATCAGGCATTAGAGAAATACTCCAACAAAACCAGGCCCTGCATTATACCCAGAAAACAAATGATTTTCAGTTAAACATAGCTTGTCATTTGTGGTTATAGAAAACAATAATTAAATTCTGTGCTCTGAGAAACAGGAAATGGTGAATGAGCCAAAGACATAAAAGCTTGAACAGTGCCTGATCGTTTAGGGTGTAGGTCAGCATTCCTTATGACAGTCATCTCTTTTGTTACAGGAATGCAAATTGAACTGAATGTACTTATGTGTTTCAGGGACAATGTGAAATAAAAAAAAAAAAAGAATCTAAACCCCACAGATTTTCCTGTGTGAAGCAAGTGAGAAGCATCCAGCATGGACATTCTGTGAAGACGACTGGACAGACTTCTCCAGCTCAGTTCCTGCTCACATTATTTTTCTGTGAAGGGAAATACAGTCAAGGCAGCAGGGGAAGTAAACAGATCACAGCCTGCAAGGCTGGCAGGGAGAGCAGGAAAGTGAGCACAGCCTACACTGCTGTCTCTGGCTCTGTCCCTACCTCTGCCCTCATCTCCCTCTGCTCCATCTCCATTGGGGCCATTTGACCCTGTTTCATTCTCCTTGCATGAGACTCTTCACGTTCACAACACGGATCCTGTAGGTTTGACCTTTCACCAATAACTCCTGATTCCCTGTTAGGTTTAAGTAAATTGCTTATCTGATGAGAGAGTGCACTTAGTGACTTTCACTCCTAAAAATGTCTTCCATGATTCTCTTAACTAAGCAGAGATTATTTTTGTTCTCACATAAAGGACCCTGATGGTTCAGATCCATGGGAACTAACAAAGTCTTCCTCCAAGGAAGGCTCAGGGAGTGGTAAAACCTTCCTCTGGTCCAAGCATGACAATTTACAAAAGATTGGCAGGAGTATACAAAAACTAGCAACTGTAGCTTCCTTCTCTTGGGTGGCTACAACTTGAGACTGCTTCCTTACGGATACTCCCTAACTCCTCCTTTGGGTGTTGAACACAATAAACATGCTGAGGTTCCAAGCTGTTGTGCATAGTTTGTACTGATCCATCAGAGAGAGCACAGCCCACCCGATCCAAGACTTCCTGTACCTTTATCTGCTTTATCACCCTATATTGATTTCCAGAACCAACCCATTCAGGACATGGCTGCATCCTTTCAGGTTTGTATTTACCATTAAGTACTGTTATTATTATCCAATTTGACAGCAAGCTCATTAAGAGTCATACCTGCTTGGCCAATGGTTGAATTGGAATGGGCATTGACTATCTTGTAATTCAATCAATTAAGTAATTAATGAAAGACTAATCATATCTCTTACTCACACATCCCTCACTAGTTTTAGAACAGTATACATATTTTCAACATTTTCTGAGAGCTAGAAATAAATGACTGAGGACTGGTATTAGCGAATTTCCTTCTGACTGGGAGACGATACCTGAGAAAAACCTTAAGGGTGCAGGATTTATTTTGGCTCATATGTCAAGGTACACTGGGAATGGCAATGGGGGAAACATGATGGCAAAACAGGTCCGGCTGGCTAAACAGTCTCAGCAGTCAGGAAGCCATAAGTAGTACTAACTAAAAACTCTCTGAGCCACCTACTCCCCCTAGATTCTCAAAACAATGATACAACCTAGGAAGCAAGTATTCAAAGATATGAGAATGTAGAGACCACGTCATTCAAACCATAATATTCCCTCTTTGCCCCCAATACATTCATGGCCAAGTCATTATTAACAAATGCATTAAGTACAACTTCAAATTCCTCAACAGTTTCGAAAGTCCAAAGTCTCTTTGGAGATTAAGGACTGTCCACACTTTTCCCTTCATTTTCTTTCACTTCCGGGGGGGGGGGACATCTTAAGCTGCTTACAGAATTCTAGGCTTCACTAGGCCACAGATCCACATGCTTTCAGATCCTTCCTGAAGTCCAGTGGCAAAAGCCTACAGGTTCCTCCTGTGTAGCTATCAACACAGCAGCAAACCCACAACGCAGTGCTACTTTCTTGTATTAGAACAGAATAGCGGACATAAGCAACCTTAGAAGGGAGGGGTTGGTTTCGTCCCCTGTCTGAGAGTTAGAGTCTACCCCAGCTGAGGGCACAGCCGAGTGTAGGACAGCTCCTATTTGCAGTAGCAGAAACTCCATGCTGCTTGCTTCATCTCTATCAATCAAAAAACAGAGCATAGACCAAAGTGCAGTCAGACTATGACTCTCAACCCTGTGATGGGTAACCTACTTGCTACCAGACCTCACCTCTTACATGTTCCACAGACTTTTAAAACAACCACCAGCAGGCTACCAAGTTTCAAATATATCAACCGAGTGGGGGCCTTTCACATTCAGACAAACACACAGGCCCCACGTATCAATATCTACCTCCCTAATGCTTCTCTCGAAAGCTCTTTCTCTGAAATTCAAGGCCCAGAAAAAAGTAAATCAAATGATGACAGTGAGACTGATACTGAAGTCCTACAATTTTAGCATCGATGACATGTGCATTCACATGAGTGTGGGGTAGGAAAAGTGTCTCTCAACAACTGGCTTCTCCATTTAACTTACAGTCACCTCGTGCATGAATTTGGGGGTTTTCCATTATGTTACAGTTAGACATTTGGGTCATCCCAAATGTATGTTGCAAAATTCTTCCCAGGCAATTAGCATAAGCATACCCAATCTCTTCAGTTTCAATGGGAAACATTTTTCCTATTGACATCACTGAAACAATCGCCCCATTGTGTGAGGAATAGCTCCACACCCACAGCGATGTGCCCTGCAGATCAGTGTGTGACTTCATCATTTTATATGCTCTTTTCAAAGAGAGACAAAAGCAACATGGGGTAAAAAGTCACAATATTCACCATTTTGTGCTTTTCTATAAATTATGGACTGAAAAATACAATGCCACAAGATAAATCAGCTTTCATAATGCAAGAGAAGGATACATAAAACCAGATAAATCCCTTTGCAGTGGCTTCTTTCAGACATAACTATAATCCAGTCAAACTTTAAAATGTCATACTGATTTTATCTTTCATTTCTGCTTGAGAAATATTAATTAACAGAAAGCAATTAACATCAACTAACACCTACATTCATGAGCTAATCACATGGCATTGCACAAATGAAAAGCCAGAAAAGGTCTTTAATTGTACAATAAAGGAGGAAATCACTGGGTCATTTTGAAGAAAAGCATATATAGTGCTGTTCTGATGTACAGAGAACTACACGGAGTTGTTAAGCTCCAACTTTTAAAGAAGAAAACACCCTGGTGAGTATCCATAGTTTAATAACTAGCAAAGCTAGAAGCCAGAAAGCTCAGCAAGAATGATAGCTCCTTCCAACATTTACCAAGATTCCTTAAGATATCCAAATGCCAGTTGCAGAAAAACTAGGTTGACAACATGAGGAGACATGAAAGGTCTCACTTGCTAGGCTCACTGTAGCTCTCTGTGCACAGAACACTCAACACTGTAGGCTAAAACACCCTAGTGGAGCACTTTCAGCACAGAGGTCTAGACTAATAAAAAGAGTTAGACCATGAATAAATAAAAGGACAGCAAGGATGGAGGTTCCAGAGAACATGGCTTCAGTGTCTCTCATGAAAACAACTCTAGGAGGAACGTTTGCCATTAAGCTGAAAACCATTTGATAAGCCTGAACTTCCGCTTAAAAGTAGACAAAATTACCTGTCTTAAAAAAAGAATTCCAGTAGGACATCAAAGTAATACAAGAAATGAAGGACTAAAAAGCAAAGTGATGTTCCAATAAGTAATGATATACACTGGGAAGACCTATCCACAAAAGATCAAATTAACTTAGTGTTTAATTCGCTAAACAAAACTGTAAGCAATCAGCCTTGGAATACTTAGAAACAACAGGGGGAAAAAAACCCACTCATTGCAGAATTAAAAAGGAAAGTAGAAATTTAACAGATCTTCTTATGCTTGAAAAGAAATACAAAGCAGAAAGTAAGAAGTTCTAAACAAATCAAAACAAAGTAAAAGTAATAATCAAACATGTACATCCATCTGAAGAGAAAAATGAATACTAGAAAATACTAGTATGGATAATACAAGATTAAATAAAAGAGTCAAAATCACAAAATACAAAAGCACTTTATATACGTCAGAATACTTACCAGAAGTAGCTACTATGAACTAATCTTACAAAAAAAAAAAAAACAGTTGGGCCCATGGTTCTCAAACTGTGGGCCACCACCCCGCTGGGGGTCCAATGACCTTTTCATAAGAATCATGTTTCAGATATCCTACATGTCAGATATTCACATTATAATTCTTAACAGTAGCAAAATTACAGTTATGAATTAGCAAGGAGATAATTTTATGGTAGGAAAATAATTGTATGGTTATGAGGGACTGTATTAAAGGGTGACAGCATTAGGAAGGTTGAGAACCATTGCCCAAGAGGAAGGGATGGGAAGGAGCATACACCAAACACAGTGTTGAGAGAATGAAGGACTTTGGGGAAGAGGAAACAGCAACATTAGGTTCGAATGGTTTCTGGGCGTTGTCAAGGAAGACACTTTTATACCACAAAAATCTGTGACAGCTAATCCTACTCAGTCTCTGAGTACTTACATTCAATTCATTTCTTAGAGCTTCCTTGAGGAGATACCCCACAGATTCTTCATCTTTTGTGTTCACAACCACACAAATCTCTTGTGAAATTTTCTCTGAAATTAAAAATAGAAAAACTTTTGAAACTTTATCATTCAAAGAAAACATAGAACAAAGCCTTATTATCCAAAAGCTAGTTCTTGCTTGATTCTCATCACCCTTGGGTAAGACTAGGGACAGTCTAGCTCCAGGCTAGGAAGAAGAGCCTGAGTTACACTCTGAGACACGCTTGGTTCTGTATGCCAGACAGGCCCTTGCATCCATACACTAAACACTACGTAGTAAACAACCATCAAGCACATACATGAGAAGTGAGAAATCTTGGTTTACATTTTACAGGGAGAAACCAGAAGTGACAGATGTTTACATAACCACTGCTGTCCTTCCTTGTTCATGAGGAATCTCCCTGATTCTCAGATACTCTCACTTACAGGCAGATACTTCCTAAGTCATACCCAGATTTTCCTTGGTGTGCATTTAGATTATCAATTCAACACAGCTCAGTTCCTGTTTGGATTCTTAACACAGCAAACGAAATGGGTGAACTTTCCTCAAACTTGTTAGCTTATTTCAAGATAGCTTAAAAGTTAAAATGTCAACCGTGTGACATGGTGGCATTCACCTTTGAACATTCTGTGCATTCTCCCAGAAGATATGAAGTCCTTTATAAGTCATCTGAGGTGCTAAAAGAAACATCACCACAGCTGCCAAGTACCAAGTCTTAAACTAGGACAAAAAAAAATCTAATTCAAAATAGTATTTCCCAATCAAAAGTGAATTGGTCAACATTTGATCTTGCTGCATCACACATCAGTGGCTTGGGTAATATGTTTTCTACAAGAATTAATCAATTATTAATCTTTTCAAGCAAAGCTAGAAAGGACAATTAAAATAATATCATCTGTTAATAATACTTCTGTTACTAAGTCCAAGTTTACCAAGAACCCTGTTGTTCACAAAGCTACAGTAATGTAGAGAACATGGTGGCCTTAGAGGAAAGAATTATTATCCGTATGTACAGTGAAGTCAGAGAAGGGGACTGACATTCATAAGATCCCAGGGTTCTTATGAAATCCAGGGTTCCAGTAGAAAATGGACACAAATCCAAATATGCTATATTTACAGACCTATAGGTACCTTAGAGGACCAAAGTGGGGACAGGGGGAAGAACACGGAACACTTAGTGAACCTTCAAACATTTCCATGTTCTCTCAATGTCACTATTGTATTTAATGCCTCAATGTAAGGTATATATTGCTATCTAAGTGTTATAATTCATGTTTTCATTTCAGGATATTTAAATAAAGGTCTTCATAAAGATCGCACCTTCCTAGAGTAATACCACCCTTGTATTAGATGCTGGAAAAAGCTGTTCACACACTCTTTGCTCAGATCCTTCAGTGGAGAAAACTAACCATATGTAAACAAAGTAATTCCAAAGACTGGGATTGACAGAATCCCTCTTCTGAATATGGGTCGGTCACACTAAGCTATCCTACCTTTGCATCACCTCATCTCTCAGGAATCTGTTGGCTTACTTGCTGAGGGTCTGTAATTCCCCAAAGTCTGTAGATACACAACCCTAATAAAATCCAGTGTGATGCAGAATGGAGACAAAGGGGACAGCCTGTACGTGGTGTGGGACATGACCAAGTTATGAAACACAGACGGCTAAGAAAATAGATGATTCTGTAGAACTCACCCTGGAAACGTGAGTAGGTTTTGCTTAGGAGTGGAAGCAAGGAATTTGAAGGAATCCACAGTGATAAAAATGGAAATAAGATTAAAAATAGGTTGAGGTAAGAAAAGGATCCATTTCTTGCCCCCTCTCCCCACTCAGTGTTGTGGGGACCCCTGACAGTGGCACCGGGACCTATCCTGGTACATGAATTGGCTTTTGGGAGCTCATTCCCTATGATGGGATACCTTGCTCAGCCTTGATGCAAGGGGAAAGGGCTTATTCCTGCCTTAGTGTGGTTTGCCAGATTTTGTTGACTCCCCAAGATAGGCCTTATCCCCTTGAGGAGTGGACAGGGGTGGGAAGGAGGAAGGCAAGGGTGGAAAAAGGGGAGGGGATGGAAACCGGGGTTGGAATTAAAATGAAAAATAATTTTTAAATAAAAAAAGTGTGACCAATAGACAGCAGAGATAATAGAAAGTGTTAGACAGGAAAGGCTACGGCAGGATACACATACAGCAAGGCCAAGTCATGAGATTCCCTCCCAAAAGAGTCTGATGACAAGGTAACCATCCTCCAACCAGAGTCTTTTGAAATGAAGTCAACACAATTGATACACATAAACTTAAATATTTACAAGGAAATATGCCTCTGCAGCATCCTTCCAATTGCTTAGAAATATTTCTAAATGTTTCTAATGCACAAAAAGTTGAATGTATGACTACAAAGTAACCTGCCAAAATCAATGTGTCAGCACCACAATCATGTTTGACAAATTGATAAATTACAGATAATTAAGAATTGTTTCAAGTAAAAAAGTAACATTATTCCTTCTTTTATTATATATTCCTATGCAAGTATACCCCCTCTGCTCAAGGTAAATTACTAGTCCCCAAACTGGAAACTTACTACCCAGAAGTCTTCTATCACTTTAAAACATAAGTAGGCTAAATATGAATTTAACTACATTGGTCATTTATCTTAGACTGTATTTCAGCTATTCTAAATGTAGAACTTTTACTAAGGAATCTTTCATTGCCACGTAAATTTTCCAGTCAGTTTCCATAAAATACCAAATCTTTCCATGATCATGATTCAGTCCCCAATTTATTGGTATCTCCCTTAATTATTCCTACCTACCAGTATAAGTTGTTTTAAATTGTTCATTGGCAATACTGCCAATTGACATTCTAATTTTATTTTCTATTTCACTGAAAAATTATTTTTTTATGATCTTAAAGTAGTTTTGTTAGATTTGTTTATAAGCTTTCATAAACACACACACACAAACACAAATATATATGATGGTTAAAGTCTTTTCTCCTTGCCAAATCATAATTGCCTGATAATTTTAAATAGAATTTTATATCCTCACTAAGTCCTGTTGTATTTATAATAAAGAGCTAAATTATTTAGAGGTGAGAGTGTTTTTGTCTACTCTATAGAAAACTGTTTACGAATGACATCATTTCTGTAACTTTTAGAGTTCATGAGTACAGTTGCTGTTCTAAATTATGAGTGTTCGTACGCTCTATTTTGTATTAGTTTAATATGTTATATTTGTCTAAAACTGTGTATCTAAATTCTTATGACTGTTAGCAAAGTGTTCATAATGGCTTCAGTGTTCACAGTAATTTACTGTTCTTTTTCATTTGGTGATAATTACTTAAGCCTTTAGCATTTGTCATGATTACACTTGCCTTGCCAAAGTACTAACCATTGTATTAGCATTTTCCTAGAAAAGCATTTGGCATTCCAGTGCTATGTAGCAATATAAATGCATATGCGTAATCCATCACCCGCTTAGCACACAGTTAGGTGGATGGGGAATGAATGGCTCCTATGGAAATAAGAAAGTAAATGAAGTGAAAAGTTATCTTGTCAGGGATCTGTGAAACCAGGTAAAAGATGCGTGGGAGTTATATGTGAGGCTCTAGCCCCCCTTAAGATTGAAAATATTTTAAAATAAAAGTGCCCTCACTTTACAAAACAAAAAATACATTAAAATATATTAATAGCAGAAGAAATTAAAATTCCCATCATTACCCATTAAAGGTCATGAGAACAAAACCTAAAGGAGGATGATCTAGACTTGAGATCAAGGGACAATGACGAAAGGTAATGCTTCTGTGTGGTGAGCTCGTTTAATAAAGTTTCCACCATGTGTATATCACACAATGTCTGAGATACACCAGCTGTCTTATTATACTTTCTATGGATCATACATATAAGGTAATGCTTCTGTGTGGTGAGCTCGTATAATAAAGTTTCCACCATGTGTACATCACACAATGTCTGAGATACACCAGCTGTCTTCCTATACTTTCTATGGATCATACGTATATATCCTCTATTAAAAATGCCCTGAACTCTTGGGGAAGGGTCTAGGCCCTGCCCTATATGAAATGACACACTATGCACACCCCCATGGAGGGCCTCACCCTCCCTGGAGAAATGAGGGGATAACGGGGGGGAGGGCACGGGAGGAAGGGAGGGAATGGGAGAGGGACCTGGAACTGACTTGTGAAGCAACCTTGTTTCTTATCTAAATTTAAACTGGAAAATAAAATTTAAAAAAAATGGCAATGTCGCATTCTGTTCCTACTCCGAGATCAGACTATTAAACGTCTCCAGTTGTCTCTTCTAACTCAATGCTTCTGTGTGGTTGACTATTAGAAGTCACTAGTAGTGCTCTTTTCTACCCTATACTCTCCAAAGGCACAGATTTGGTAGCTACTCAAGAGTTTCTAGCCTGAATTTTGTAAAGTTCCCAAGTAACCCAACATACAGACAGACTGGAATCTCTGCTTAGCTGACACTAACTTGGGATAAAAGCTTCTCCTCTTTAAAAATATGCAAATTGCCTATCACTGCTGATTATCACCCTCAAGCAGTGTGATCTTCTGAGGTAATATTTCAGCTTTCTTTAATCTTCCTGCCATGTGTGGCAATTGGAGAATGGTGAGTTTAGAAAGGCATGGTGAGCCACCCATGCACTGAGGCTTTCCACTTCTGATGGAAAACTATGAAAGAAAACTAACCCCAAGCAACCAGTACTTTCATCTGCAAGTCTCATCAACAGCAGTTTCTCCCAATACTCTAAAGATGACACATGATAATAAACAACATTTTTAACAATTACAGACTTCAGGAACTGGACAAGCATTTAACAATAAGGTTTTATGAAAGTTCAATTCAACATCGAGATGCTTCTGGAAGCCATTAGGTCATATCCCGGTACTGTATTCAAGTATGAACTGAGAAAAGACAACTTTTAAAAAAAGTCAAACCAATGTTCCATTGAACTACAACATCAAACCCACCATACAGTGTCTGCATAAAAACAGTCTAAAGTAAAAATTATGACAATAAATGAGA